CCCATAGGGCTTTCCATAAAACTTCTCTTGTATTCTTTGAACCCCTGCATGCTTTATTAGTGAACATAGCACATGCAAACATTTTTTTATTATCAAACTGGTTGCCTTTTTCTTAATGTGTAAATCTTTCTTCAGAAAAGAGCTGATCAAAGACATACAATGTTTGAGAAGGACCATGTAGTACCAGACAGATCAAACCTGACATATGACAGAGAACTAGTTCATATTGCTACAAGAGGGGGTAGGTATTTATTATAATCTATGTGTAGTTAATGCCTGGGGTTGAGGGTTCATATTCTCTAGTCACCCGCATGTATGTAAGTAGAGTTTGTTTGCTGTGTTGTTTTATCTCTTGCCACAAGGATTTTTTTCTTTGGGTTCTCTGGTTTTCCTCCATATAAATCAGTATGTATGTTAGTAGAGTTTGTTTGCTGTGTTGTTTTATCCCTTGCCACAAGGGTTTTCTCCTGGTTCTCTGGTTTTCCTCCATATAAATCAGTATGTATGTTAGTAGAGTTTGTTTACTGTGTTGTTTTATCCCTTGCCACAAGGGTTTTCTCCCGGTTCTCTGGTTTTCCTCCATATAAATCAGTATGTATGTTAGTAGAGTTTGTTTACTGTGTTGTTTTATCTCTTGCCACAAGGGTTTTCTCCCGGTTCTCTGGTTTTCCTCCATATAAATCAGTATGTATGTTTACTTAATAGAGTTTGTTTACTGTGTTGTTTTATCCCTTGCCACGAGGGTTTTCTCCCGGTTCTCTGGTTTTCCTCCATATAAATCAGTATGTATGTTTACTTAGTAGAGTTTGTTTACTGTGTTGTTTTATCCCTTGCCACAAGGGTTTTCTCCCGGTTCTCTGGTTCTCCTCCATATAAATCAGTATGTATGTTAGTAGAGTTTGTTTACTGTATTGTTCTTTCCCTTACCACAAAGGGTTTTCCTCCCGCCATAAACATCCCTTTTAGGGTTGTACATTTTAAATATAAGAATAAGTGAATGTAGTGGTACAGTATTGGGTGTAAGGCAAACCTCGCACAAGAGCCCCATACAGGTAAATATAAAGTTTTATGTTTGGGCTCTGTTTGGGGGTTGAAAATCCCTACCACCTTAGTAGCCCATGCCATGGAGGGGTTGGACAATATTATTAATTGTCATTAATTATCAATATATTTTGGTTGTTTCAGTTGTCAAGCTTTTTAATGCTGTAAGTAAACACCAGAAAGATACAGAAGCAAAACTTAAAAAGGCAACAACAGAAGTAAAAAAATCGAAAGGTAGAAGATAGATCTATTTTCCTAGGGCATGTGTAACCATCTTAGGTGGCATGGGTGGCGTAGTGGTTTGCTGCTCGCCTCTCACTGCTGTGGTCCAGGTTCGAGCCCTGGCTCAGACTGGATCAAATGTGAGTTAAGTTTGTTTGATGAGTTGTTCCCTCCCTTGCCATGAGGGTGTTCTGCAGGATCTCTGGTTTCCTCCCTCCGTAAAAAAGCAGCATGTGAGTTGAGTGTTGCACAGTATGTTGTAAATATAGAATGTAGTGGTAGTGCATGTGGAGGAAACCTCACGGAAGAGCCCCGTATGGGGAGTGGTGGTTGTAAAGTAGATATATGTGTCACACTCTTGAGAATAAGATTCTTTGTTTGAGTTGTATCCATATTCATGTGTCTTCTCATGTGCAACCGTTAAACAAAGAAATGATACTCTAGGGAATGACACGTGGTCTTGAGAATAAGATTCTTTGTTAGAGTTGTATC